GAAAAAATTTTTACCAAGTTTTCTTATCATTAAAAACAAAGGAACTGATAATTTTCTATTATCATAAAGTGATAAAAATTCAACAAAAAATTGCAAAAAAAATTTTTTAAATTTTTAATAAATTACTTATTAATTTAAAATAAATTATATTTTTCATCATTAAATTTAGACATTTTTTTTTTTAAAAAGAGAAGTTTTAAATTTGAAAATTTAAATAATAATTTTTTGAAAATTACAGTACTAAAAATATTATAAAGGATTAATTAATTTAATCGAATTGAAATGAAATTGTTTATTATATTTGAATGTGGAAAATTGTTCGATATATAAATTCTCCACTGCTATACTAATTTAAAATCTTCAAGCACTGATATTCTATATAATGAACATGATCCTGTAATTATTAATCCGCGAGCTTGAATCAATTAAAAGGCGATAAGAGGAATAAAACAAAACGTGCTCATAGTGTTTGTGGCCTCTGTCGATCAAATGTTGCATTTTAATGATGCCTAAGGCTAAGGCTGCTTCTTGGCCCGCTATAGCTTTCTAGCAAATTATTCCTATTCCTATCTCATTCGTTCAAATTAATTGCATATTTCATACACTTCCCATGCTACTTACTTTATCAAAATGCTTTAAAAAAAGAAGAAGAAGAAGAAAAGAGCCCATTCGTTAACGATTATATACATTCGATGATATCCAAAAAAGGGAAGGAAAAAAGAAATCCAATTTATTATCTCTGAAAAAATTAAAATGAAATTTCAAAAAATATTTCGTAAATTTCAAAAATTCAAAAAACTTAATTTTAACCATTCAATTTTTTATTCATTGAAAAATTATCCTAAAATTTGCAAAAATTTTAGGAAACAATAATTGAGGAATATTTTAATTAAAGAAATAAATATAATTAATTATCAGTTGATTATCAACTAGTTTATTAAAAAAAATTTTCAGGTTATTTTATTATTTTAGTAGATTTCACTTAATAAAATCTTTTTAAAATTATTCCAATACCTTCAATTATTATATTCATCATTTTAATTGTTATTTGTTAATTAATGAAATTTTAATAAAAATTAGTTTATTTAAAATTAAACATTCACTAAATGATTCGTATGATATAATTGATAATAATAGTTCATAATGCTTATTTGTATTCTCAAGCTTTTACAATCTTTCATTTCGTGTTTGATTCATTTTAATAATATACAGCAATACAATTGCTGTAACAATTAAATATTTGATAAGTTGAAATTATCGGGGGATTATCCGTATCATTTTATGATAAAATATTTCGTGATGATAGCATATTTCAAACGCCTTCGTATCATAATCATTTCAGCTACAACTCTTTATTAAATCCATTTTTATTCAATCTTTTCAATTTATCAACAACTCCCTCATCAATAATTTGCAAAATAGACACATATGTCATTTGTTCAAAATAAAAACTTTCCAAAAAATATGAAAAAGTTTAATCAGTTAGGTAGAAGAGATGAAAAGGTGAGAAGGAAAATGAAGTTTCGGAAGATTGTCATGGCAACGAAAAATTAATATTTAAAGCTATGCCCATTTTTAATCTCTCCAATAATTTCTTACTGTTTTTATCAAACTTTACCAAAAAGAAAAGAGAAAAATAATTTCAAAACACATACGCAATATATATTTGCATACAATTCGATTATATCAATAACTATTTCAATTTCTTTATCAATACAATAAAATTATCATCAAATGCGTAAATAAATTGTGCAAAAAGCATTATCTCTTATCACAAAATCATCCTAATATTTGGATAAAATTAAAATTGAAAAGAAAAGAAAGAAAAATAAAATTAAATTTTAGGTCAATAAATGATACTCGCATTGAAGCGAATGATATTAATTGAGGTATAAATTAAGTTCCATTTTAAATTCCAAATAAGTTCCATTCTATTATAACTAAATTTACATAATGAAACTAAGCGATCGAATTTCTTCCCTTTTACAAATCACAAACAAATAAATTTATTTTCTCTTTTAACTAAATAAATTTCATCTCTTTCATTGGCTACACTAATAAGAATGGCAGAAAAATATAAAATTATTTCTTCTCTTTCGTTAATTTTGAAATCAAATTTTGTTCAATTTGATATTTATCAAATTTACCTAGTGGATAACCTATCAGGTAATCTATATATCCAACAGGTATCATTCTGTAATATAAATCAATTGAGTAACTTTATATTGTCTATCCTAATTAGAATGTTCTTCTATTAGAATGTTAGAACAAGTAAACACATATCATATCATACAGAAATATTCATATTTTCCACTTCATATTTTATTAAAATAATATTTATGATAATCATATTTTATCAAAATAGTATTTATCACTTCATATTTTATCAATTTTATCTTTCGCTAGTCTGTATCACCTAATGAAATAAACGATAGTAGTAAAGATACAATCAGTGTTTTCATGAAATTATAATTTTTAAATCCGTTAAATTGTATTATTTTACTTTTTTTCCTATAAGTAATGTTGACAGTTATTATTTGACAATTATTATTGTTCGTTTTCATTTTCAAAATTTTAAATTTTCTCCTACAATACACAATATTTTTATATTTATAAAAAGTTATAAGCAATAATTAATTAAAAGAAAAAGAAAGAAAAGATTGAGATAATTTTTTCAAAATTAATTGCAACACTTCTTCCTCTTTTTTCAATTTATATTTTAAAACAAATGTCAAATTTCATTCCATCCTAAAATTATATTTTCAACATTCTCAACGAATTCAACAAATGTATCCTTCCTTGGAAAAACTCTGCAAAATTTTAAGCTATCTTTTAACGTTCAATAACAACAAAAAAGTAGAATGATAAATTCTAAAAGAGGAAGAGAAAGAGAGAGGGAGAGAGAAAGAGAGAGAGAGAGAGAGAGAGAGAGGAAAATAGGATGAAATGGATTAAAAAATCTCTTAGCAATACGATGAAAGCAAAGATGCGCATCAGGCAAATTGCTTTCGTTATAAGGCAAACGAATTGTTTTTGGTATGTGTTAATTGGATATGGTGAAAAATTGCTGAAAAAAAGGAATTTGTTAAATTGTTGAAAAATACTGAGAAATCATTCATTTCTATTTTCATTTGCATTCCGGTTTCATTCCGTTTCATTCCGTTTCATTCCGTTTCATTCCGTTTTCCTTTTTCATTCATTCAAATAATAACCGTAAAAAAAAAACTGAAATTCTTTTTTTTTTAAAACAAAAGAAAATATTTTTAATCGAAATTAAAATTTTTGTTTTATTAATACGTTGAAATATTTTTCGACAATATCTTCTTGCCATCTATTTATTCACTAATTTACTAATTGTAAATTAAAAATGTTAATTAAACTGTCATTAAATTTTATTTGTGAATTATTTATTTATTAATTTTTGCTAAATAAATCTTTTATTACATTGAATTTTGTTATCTTTTTCAATCGTTTAATTTTAATTTTAATTAAAATTTATTAAATAAAAAAAAAAGAAAATTACTACCTCTAAAGGTGTGACTTATAATAATTACATTTCATTTAAAATATTTTCATAGAATTATAATTGCTCGTTATTTATTATACATATTTATCTGTTAAATATATACATATAAGTAAAAGTTTATTCAATTAAAAAAAAAACGTGAAAATTAAATAAAATATGAAAAAATTAAAATGAAATTAATTTTTAAAAAATCGAAAGAAAAATTTGATTTCCAATTCTTGCAATATAATAATCGAATTTTCAAATTAATTTACAATAGGAATGATATATTTATATACATATAAATATGCAATAATTATCGGTTGATTAAGCAAAAAGAATGGTTTATTTAATTACAAATTTGATAAATAAGTAATTAAATATAACTGAAATAATTTTGTTTCATAATAATCTTCCCATTTATTCCTAAAAAAAAAATTTATATTTTATTACAAAAATTGGAAATCAAATTTTTTTACATAAATCATTTCTTACAAAAAATTTTAATTAAAAAAGAAAGAAAACAAAAAAAGAGACGAGAAAAAAAATATTTGTCGAAGAAATTTGTAAAATGTTTTAGACATTCAGCATTATGGAAAAGATGAAGGAAAGAGGATATAGGATGAGATAGAAGTTTAGTAGAGGATAAAGCTAAAAGGAATGAAATTCTTGACTTTCTACGGTAACTCTAAGCAACACTTCCATTTAAATATTTGTTAATATATATTAGGCTAAGATCCTAGGCTGATAAATAATATGTATATATATATATATATATGAGACTAAATTATTCTATATGTTTAACTGTTTGTTTACTGTATAATATCTAAATTTACACTATATTCATAATAATTATTATTTGATATACGATTTGATTACTGTATAATATCTAAATTTGACATATCCTAAATATTCATGATAATTATTATTTGATATACGATTTGATTATTATATAATATCTAAATTTACACTTTAAATATTCATAATAATTATCATTTAATGCGATATTATAGCTATCTGTGTATTCAGTTGTATTGAACTATTTTACGAAAATTATCACTATAATATATTGATTTTAAAAAACATTTTTTATTTATCTAAGACTGCTAGGTAGAAGTTCAAAAAGAAATCTGTAATTCAGGTTTTATAATCATCGATGCTTCTTTCATTTATTTCTAAAATTATAAATCACACTTAATTTTAGAAATAAATCACATACAATATTTGTAACTAATTAATAACTTAATTTAATAATTTACCGGTACAAACTTATCCATTAAAATTTCAAACTTTATAAACAAACGATCTAATTAGCTGAGTAAGTCAGGAAAGACAGATAATCAAACGAAGGAAAAAGTAAAATTTTAGGTAAATTATTATAATATTAATTCCTGAAATTAAAAATAAAAATTTAGAACGATATATTTCCTTTTTGCTTACCATATCAATTTTTTAAGCAACAATTTCAGGTTTTGGACAGGTAAGCAAACGTTATATGTCAAGAAATTCACAATGTCGATCTATTGTTAATGCAATTTCAACTACTCTCACTACAGGTTTTCATTTGTTGTAATTTTAAACAAATATATAAATTGCTACAAAAAAGGAAACCATATTAAAAGTTAGATAAAGTTAGATATTTAAAAGTTATAAGTTAAATAAATTTTCAATCATTTTTACCTTATTTTTTTCCTTCCGAGAATTATCATCTGTTATAATTACAGAAACCGGATCCTAAATTTTTATTCCTAAAATATTCTCAATAATTTTTCTAATCCTTTCATTTTTATTTCCTCTTCTTCCTTTCCCTAATCAAACATTTAATTTATAATTTCTAATAAAATAATATAATTGTTTTATTAAATTTTAAATTTTAAAATTTTATCAGTTAACAAATTTCAAAATTTTAATTAATTTAAAATCATTTCATATATTTTTGATAATTCAAATTAGTACAAAAATTAATTCGTTGAAATTTTCAACAATTTGATATGTTATTGATAAAAATTTATTACCAATAGTTTAGAATGCTTCGTTACAATCTTCCAATACAAAAAGAAAATATTTGTTTTCTCATTTTATCATTTTCTAAAAATATGTAAACAAACCGAGAAATGTTTGTCTTTTTTATGCTTTCTAAATTTTTAATATCAATTTTTGAGATTTTCTTCTTTTATTATTTTTATTTAATAAAATTGTATAAAATATATTTTAGTAGCCGTTTTTATTTCTTAAAATTATGCATACATATATGTTAAATATAAATTGAAAATGATATCTTTTTTCTTTTTATCATTTTCTGTTATCATAGAACATTTTCTGTATCATATGGGGCTCTGTATCATAGATTACAAATTTCTGAAATTTTTTCAAATTTAAATAAATTATTTAAATTTCACTAAGATTATTCGTTTAAGTTGTTATCTTATGATATGTTTGCAAAGAAGCAGTATATCAATCTGATTTTGTATTAATTAATACTAAAGACAATGAGAGAAAAATGAAAGATTGGAGAAGATTATTAAGATAATAGATAAATTGAAAAATTTGATATTTTACCTGAAAATAATCACAATTTCAATATTTCATTATTTACAGAACCAGAAACGGATTGCAATACAACTGTACAGGATTGGTCACCAACCGAAAAATGTCCATTTTGTGATGGTTTACGAGTATCCACGGATGATTGCTCTGAAAAGGTAAGTGATAGGAAAATTCCCATACAACTTTTAAATTTATCATCAAATAATCATGGAAAATTCATTTTTTTATCAATGATGATATCAGAAATGGAAATTGATAACTGAATGAGAGTGAAAAAAAAAGATAATTTGGAAGAAAAGAAAATTATGAAACATTGAAAGTGAAAGGTAAGCGAAATAATAAAAGGTAGGATGAAGTTGCGCCACTTTTTTGAGATTGCCCTACCTTCTTTTTCTTAAATTATTTTCGGTAATTAAAATTTATTCTAATATCATTTTGTATACGTATAATTTTAATACACCCACAAAAGAAATCAAATTCAGCTCATTTTGCTAAAAGTAGTATTTTCATTAATTAATGAATGAATTTAGCATTGTTTTATAATTATTATTTTAATCTGTTTTTATCTTTTTAATGATACCTATCATCATCATACAGAAATTAATTCCGGAAATTATTCTCCGTTTATTTTGTGAAGAAATAATGTTGTTTAAATTAAGAAATTAAAAAAAAAAGAAAACAATATTACTCTTCAGGATTCCATAAGAATAGAACCTGAAAATGAAAACGCAATAAGCGACGGTGAATATTACAGTGCTAGTTGTTCCAATCAATCTAAGATAGAGCAAAATACAACAACAAATAGCTCTACGGAAAGCATCGAACATCCGGAATCATCATCCGTTTGTTTACAATCTCGTCTACCTTACATGCATCCATTTTCAAACATCTGTACTCCATCCGTCCTTCCTGTGATGACGCCATTTGTGCCTCTTCGTAAGTTTTCAACTTGCTGTTTTCATTTTTTTGTTGTAAAATTTCATCCTAATATATTTTTAATAATTGTGTATAAATTTTCTAAACTAATAAGTTGATTAATTATTAAAAAAAAAAAAAGAGTTGAAATTTTTATTTATCGTAAAAATTGATTTTTTTATTTTATCCTAAATTATTAAATTTCAAATAAATTATTTATCATGCCTGCTATTTTTTAAAAAAAAAGATCCAAAATGCTATTATCGAAAATAATACAAAATGTTTCCTAATAATTGTTTTTGATATATTAAATTTCGAAATAAACAAAATGTTTATTGTTGTGAGGCAATATTTTAAATACATTTAAAAATAGTAAGAAAGAAATATGCAATCAAAATAGCTGATTAAAGGCTGATGATAAAGTTGAATTATTTTGTATAGCTATAGGAATATTTCAACGACAATATACTTTCTTTATTGTTGAAAAAAAAACTTTGTTTTCATTTAAATATCGGCAAGATATTAAAAGGTTTTCGTTTTCTTTCTCTTTCTCTCTTTCTCCCTCTCTCTCTCTCTCTCTCTCTCTCTCTCTTTATTATTTTTTAATGTTTAAATTTGAAAATGAAAATATTTGAATTTTAATTTTTTAATATTTGAATTTTTCAAAATTATTTGAAACTTTATATTTAATATTTGACTTTTAATATTTTCATTATTTTTCAATATTTGAATTCGAAAATGATTGCAACTTTTTTGATTTAAAAATAAAATGCTAAACTATTTACATAATAATATACTAAACTATTTATACAATGCTAAAATGCTAAACTATATATATTTATATAATAAAATGCTGAACTATTTATGTAATGCTAAACTATATAATAAAATGCTAAACTATTTATATAATAAAATGCTAAACTATAAATATTGCTAAATCAAAAAGAGAATTACATATTGAATTAATATTTGAATTCGAGGATGATTACAACTTTTTTTGATTTAAAAATAAAATGCTAAACTATTTATAAATATAGTTAAATCAAAAAGAAAATTGCATATTTAGCATAGATATTATTTTTTCCAAAAAAAAAAAAATAAATGAAAGGTATAAATAAAATTAAGGTGAAGCTTTCACATAAAAAATACACCTGAGAAAATTAAATTCAAAAATTACTGTAACATTCAATACTTCATGAAAATATACTTACCTTATTAATTTTTTTTAAAAAATTTTTCCTTAAATGAAAATACCTTCTTTAGCTGAAATAGCAAATCAGCTATTTTGCCAAAGCCTTTTACAATGGAATACATCAAACCTATTGCTACAACAAATCAATTCACAACGTTCACCAGGTATATATTGCTATTATTATTTTCATGATGATTAATCTTTATAAATTAATTTCACCTGAGATATTAATCTATTGAAAAAAAGAAGAATTTATAATTATTTTTAAGAAAGATTTATAACGATTAATAGTTTTGCTGAAATAAGAATTGATAATTATGACAGATTCATTAGTTATAGATTTTTCATTATAATAATGCTTAGCCATGAATTTCATTTATATTACAACTAAAATGTTTTGCATCATTTGAAACAATTGAGAAATATCAATAAATTGTCGTATCCTAAACATTTTTTCCTTTTATTTTAATTTATTTCATCCCTAAATAGTCTTTACTGACTTTCTTCTTTCGTTCAAATATATCCATTTCAAATAACGGATAAATATCAAAAAGTTAGATTTTCAAAAAAAGAAAATTGCCTATCTGAAATTTTCTTCTTCCTTCTTTCTTTTGCAAAAATTCAATTCTTATCAAACATTTCCTTAATTTGCAACATTTACATTTTAAAATGTTATTTAAGCAAAAAATTATTTCCAGAGAATTTACATAATTCAATTAATGAGCAATATTTATTGGCTTCAAAGAGAAATACCTTAATGCATGGTAAAGAAAATGGTAATATGGAAACGAATCATCGAATTCAACAGATGATTCCTTCAGTATCTGCTAAATCAGATAATGTAAAACGAGCTGCTCATATGTGCAATAACAACGACATTTCAACTTTATATGCTGGTAAAAAATTAGACGATGAAAATTTAAAAATCTACAAATTTATATAATAGCAATTTTAAAATATTTTAAAATGAAATATTAAATTTCATAATAAATTTAAATTTTGAAATATTTTGAAATAAAATACTAAATTTCATAGTAAATTAAATTTTGAAATAATTTATTTTTCTTACAAATTGAATAAAATGTGAAATCACATCACTTATTTTCTAAAATATCACATTTGCCAAATTTTCTTTTTAACTTTGATTATTCATAGCTTTTTCGACAAATCAAATTATATATTAATTTAGTATAATATATGTATATTACTTAGCTTTCTAATTGATGAAGTTCATTTTATGAAATGAGTAATTTGATGAAAAAGTTGTAGAATGGATTAGCTTAATTCCCATTGGTAATAAATTTGGAAAATTAACCGGAAAAAGAAAAATTAATTTCCCAACAAGAAGATTTTGGAAAATATTTTTTCTACGTCAAAAAAACAACATCAATTATAGCCGATCATTTAAGAGTGAGAAAAAAGAAGTCTTGACTTATCTTTCATTTCCAGTCTTTTGGTTTAAAATTTTTTAAATTAGTTCATTAACTTAGAAATAAGTTTAATTAACTTAATTGAAATATAAATTAATAGTAATTTAAGTACAGAAATGATAGTATCATCAGTGTTGCAGGATCATCAAAATCATCGTTTAGCAATGAATCATTGGTGGAAAGACCGACCGCAGTTTACAAGGAAGGAAATAATAGTAATGGAATGATTGAAGAAGATCAACCGTTGGATCTTAGCTCACATCGTGCTCTTAAGGCAGCTACACAATGTGCTGCTATATCATCATCATCATCATCATCACCCGCTGCTCATAATTCTCGGGATGAAAGACGATTACGCGCATTAATCAATGTCATCTCGGATAAAACATCCAATCCAATTTCTATGTGGGAAATTTTGGCATTTTTATTTTTTTGAAATTATTCAAATTTCCACTCTTTCAAAATTGTGGAAATTTTATCTTAATTCATTCAAATTTTCAAGCTATATCAATCATATTTGCTCAAATTTATTAAGCATCATTGTAATAATTATGGTAATTAAATATTTCTTAAATTTTTTTGGTAATTAATTTTTCTAATAGATGAAAGTTAATGAATCAAATGGTTAATTACGTGAAGTGAACAAATTTATTTACTCTTCTTTATTTATTGTTGATAAGCAAACAATTCAATCTATCATTAGAATTTTGATAGCTGAATGTTAATGAATTTAATTGTAAATATCACTTTCATAGAGTAATTTATATTCAAATTACAGGGATGAGGAAAATAATTCTGTAATCAGTCATGCAAAAAATGCAATTGGAACACGAACCATTCATCCACCGATGAGCAAAAGAAATTACACTCAGGCAGATTTAGATGCTGCTGTACGGGATATCCGATGTGGCCGTCTTGGAACACGACGAGCCAGTGTGGTTTACGGAATACCGAGGTTATCATCCTTTATTATATTAATTTATCATTGATAATAATGAAATTTCATAGGAAGTCTAGAAAAATAAGGAAGAAAGAAATTTAGCTGCATGATATTTTTAATTCAAAAATAAGTCAACCAATTCTGTATAACTTTGGAAGAAAACCAAATTATTAATTATATTGTTTATTTTTCTCTCTTCTCGTCAACAAATCCCTATTTCACTCTTTTCATTCCTCACAAAGTTGAAAATTTGGAGATAAAAGAGTCTTTTTTGATCAAATTACTTCAAATTACTTTTAATTACCTATAAGATTAAGCTACTGACTTTTTTTGATTACAAATATTATTCGGTTCAAAATAATTTTTGTATGATTGATTTATAACTTTTTAATTGATTTTATATTTTACAATATATATATATATGAATTGCAGATCGACGTTACGCAATAAAATTTACAAACTTGATGCAGCTGAGGATCAGCGTACAAATGGTAGTGGTGGGAAAAAAAAGCACATAAATAATTTTGGTACCACGTTAACACCGAACAGAGCTCAATCACCATCAGCTACTACCTTGGTGCCTTTTCCGAACGATGCTAATACTTGTTCTACAAAGTATGTCAAATTTATTTTTTGGAAAAATTTTTATTTTTAATCAATTAAGTCAAAATGAGAATAAATAAAGAAAAATTACCAATTTTGCTGATTAAGAAGAAAATAAATTTAATGTGAAGTTTACATATCATTGTAGGATTATTATACCTCCTACGCAGGCGCTTATAAAAATTGATAGTGTGTCGGTGCCGGAAATTATCCAGGATATTGGTGCAAATAATAAGCTTCATTTTGCGAATCGAGAGCCAATCAACGGTATCACTAATCTTAATTTTGGTACTTGTAAATTCATCAAATATGTAAATTATTGGTACTATCTTAAAATTGTAGCAAATGATGTTGTGGAGAATAAAAAGTCGCTTTGGTCACCATTTACACATCGGCAAATATGCGAACCAAAGAATGTTCATACGGAAGAAAAGAAAACTGGTAGAAGCCCGTCAAATAATACCGAAAGTCAACATGACTGGAAAAAGTCACGTCCAAAACGAGGCCAATACAGGTATATCATTTTAACGTTTATCGAAGAATTTCTATCTGGATTGTTTCAAAATACTCCATATCATTCCTCTTTGATGAGTTTTATTAAAATTGTTTGAAATACTGCAGAAAGTATAAGAAGGATGCACTGGACGAAGCAGTCAGATCGGTGCGTCGCGGTGAAATGTCGGTGCATCGCGCTGGTAGCTTCTATGGGGTACCTCATTCAACTTTAGAATACAAAGTAAAGGAAAGAAATTTAACCCGTATAAAGTGTAAGAGGACTACAGCAGAAAATCTTTTCGAGAAAACTAATTCTGGTAATGACTCTTTTACAATATCTTTCTTCTATTTGCTTTTAATTTCTAACTTTATGACTAAAAGATATATGATTCCCATGATAATATCCAAATATCGTTGATTTAAGTCGTAAGAGCTGGAAGAAAACAATAATTGTTGAAACTTATAGCTGAAATGAAAACAGCTATTTTTTTAAATGGCCATTCTAATTTCTTGTTACCATTAAACTAAAAACTAGAAAAACTTCATTCCTATTTCATCCGTTTTGAACAAAAATCAGAGGGATAATTTGGAGGAGAAAGGAGAAAGAAGTCAATGATAGCGTTAATATTCACAATTTCATGAAACTTACATCTTGCCGGATATTAATCGACCTTTTCTTTAACTAACTATTTAACGAACTAATTTCAAATTAGCATTAGCTTTCAAATTTATTCCAAAATCGAACTTATATACGTTACAGATCATCGTGCGAATTCCAATAATACGGAAGATTCACTACCGAAAAATTCACCTCGGCAGCCATCGTTAACTATTCCAACCATGAGTGATGTAGGTGCGACATCAGCTATGAGGGCAGTTGGTGTATTGACCTCTGTGACATCTGCAGTCCCTTCGTAGAATTTTTATTTTCATTTTTTGTCATTATTTAAATTTAAGCTTTAAAGTATCATTTTTATTGTGTAAGTTTTCTTGAGGCAAACCACTGTGATATCTTTGATGTGACAGTATTATTTATGTATTTGATATATTTTAATTCGTTTAGTAATTTATTAATTTCGTTTCTCATTGTCTTTGTTCAGTGTCAGACAAAACGATAATGAAAGTATTATGTGTCATTTTGTTTTTCAACATAGCTCCGTTTAATCTGTGATATTTTCAAAATGGAAAATCCAATATCTTTTATTACTTCTTTTCTACATTTACATTTAAAGTTAAATGCGCATATTCATCTCATGATAAGTGTTTTTGTATTCAACAACAACCATATTTTCCAAACAAAAAATATTGAACTGATTAATCGAACACATTGTTGGAAAAGAAAGCGATCAATCAATCAATCAATATAAATAATCCAACAAAAAGAATTTCGAATTCTCTTTATTTTTTATTATAATATTAAAATATCATTTCATACAATTTTCATGCTGTCAGATAGCATTTTCAAATTATTATTTTGATTTTTTTGTTTTTCATTTGGCGTAGAATTCTGGCCTATTTTCCTTTTTATCGAAACTTCTTAAATTGTCCTAAAATTGGAATTTGAATTCTCATAGTTTCATTACAATTCATTCTATCAATATTCTTAATCAATTTTCACAGTTCAAAATGAGTCAAAAGAAGCCGATTAAGAGAAATTATTGAATTAGACACTGCTAACATTTTTGTCCCACACAAGTATCAATTGCTAATTATAACAATCAGATTGAAGAAAAACGGGCTTGAAGTGATATTCATTTATTTGATCATCAAGTAGTATAATTAATATAAATTCATTGCAAATATTCCGTGCAGTTCATCTCTTCAAACGATTTTGCTCTCGATACATGGAACCGTGTATCATATATAATAGAGGCTTATTTCATTATATGATTCAACTTTAATGCTCAAGCCTTCTTTCTACACATATCACTCAAGCTTTTATCAGAAACATTCATTTCTCATTTTGCTCATTCATATTTCTGAAAACATTAGTGTTCATCTTGCGAAGAAAAAAAGAAACCAGTAACTACTTGATATTATTTAAAAAGTCGTATTTTAAATTTTGTGATTGGATTTTCCGATATCATTTACCACATTTCAAAGTCTGATATCATTTACCACATTTCTGTCAAATTCTGATATCATTTACCACATTTCTGTCAAATTCTGATATCATTTACCACATTTCTATCAAGTTCCGATATCATTTAACACATTTCTGTCAAATTCCGATATTATTTACCACATTTCTGTTCTGTCAAATTTTTCTAATAATTAACAAATTGCCGTCATTGTTGCTTTTTGAAATAGTTCTTCAATGGAGCTTACTTATCTGGTGGAAATCATTCTATCATCACATGATGTAAATCAATCAATCACAATACATTGTCGCATGATCTAAAATTTGATTCATTTTCTCCTAGTATCATTCTGTACATTTATTATTCATTTTAATTTTTTTATATTGATTCGCATCTGAAACTGCTAATCATCATTCGCCAAACAAAACATTCAAATCGTTGAGAATATTTTAAATAGTTAAATTAACAATAAGGAGAAAAATTACATAGTTACAATCTTTATTAATGATAGAGGGTCTACCTACTTATAGCACGAGAAACTATATCATGCTGGAATTGCCTGTACACTTTCAAGATTGAAAACAAAATTCTGGATACTCGAAGGCAGAACCGAAATCAAGCGAGTGTTGAACAAATGTATGTTTTGTAAAAGATGGAAAGCAAAATCGCTCAAACTCTCAGTCATGCCTAATCTTCCAGAAACTCAAATCATTCTTCGCACAAGTTGAATTGGATTATATTGATCTTCTTTCCAACAATACTGATACTGGCGTAATAAAAAAGATGGATGGATAGCTCTCTTCACATATTTCACAACGAGAACAGTGCACTTGGAACTGGTAGAAAATTTATCTGCTAAAAGTTTTCTGCACATATCAAAAAAATTTCTTGTCCGGCAAGGTTATCTTAAATTAGTCTTGAGTGATAATGTTAGTCAATTCCAATTAATTTTCGAAACACGCAATTAATAGATTTTCTAGCAAATAAGGGAATGATTGGGAAATACCATGAGCTCCATGGAGTGGAGCAATTTATGAAAGAATAATTGAAGTGACCAAAAAAGCAATGAGAAGAGCTACTGGTAAGAAGTTATTATGGGAGAAGGAATTAATGACTCTTATAGTAGAAACAGAAGGTATACTAAAATACCTTGCCACTAATTTACGTAAGTTTTCACGATTACATAATTATACACCCGATTGATTTCATCTCGCCTAATGCTTCTCTAATTACTCAAACTGCTCACGACAATGATCAGGAAAAAATTTTTCTCCTCACAAATTAAGTACCAAGGAATTAGTTCAGGAATTTGATGAACAGGAAGGACCTATTGCTCTACGAACTAGAAATGCTACAAAAGGTCAAACTGCTATAAAAACAAAGGACAACAAGAAAGGTGCTAATTCCTTCAGTCGGAGATGTCGGAAATCAAAATAACTTCATAATGTAAAAATGTTCAAAAAATCAATACAACTTCATGCTTTTGTTGTTTATGTCATAGAAATCTTTTATTCTCAGTCAAATGATTCGTTATGCATTGTTTAATATCATAATTCATTATACTAAGAAATGTTGTAAATAATTAGGATCAAATAACTCTATTTTTATCGTCTGCTTTATCTATTTATATGTTCAAATAATTCTTTAACTATCAATTTTACAGTCTATTTATTATAAACGAATATCGCTAATAATTTATGCCAAATGATCTCATGTTTACTATTAATCTCTCGTATCAAATGACCTTATGACCTTTTTTATATTAGTTCATCTACAAGATGACCATTTGACCATTTACTATAAACAATGCTCCCGGAGTACCGCCTAACTCGAAAAGAGAATATTTCAACTTGCTGTGCCAAATCAAATAGTCTCACCACTTGTGTTGATCTGAACCAATTCCTCATTTCTTCTCCCGGATTAACTGTAAAAAAGAGTAACCACGATTATCTTCTAGAAATTGCATTATAAAGTTTAGGATGAATGAATTTATCATTCACCAAGAATAAACCTTTCTAAGAATCTTTGCGAAACAACAAACTTCTCAAATCAAAAAATTTCACAACATCGTAACATCTTATAAATTCATTGAAAACAAGAACTTTACGTTAAATTCCAAATCACATTCTTTTATTATCACAGATTATAGATATGCTATCCAATCGATTTTCCTCCAATAATTAAATTTAAATCAAGTGATAAGTTTAAAATTTGTTTTCGCAAACTATTTGAAAGACTTGCAAAAGCAAAATTTATTGTTCCATACGAGGCTTTCTTTTATCATCTGTTAACTTCGTATCACTCTTTTTCTTATCCGTTTTGTCTAACTTTAGACTAACTTTGACAATGTGAAAAATAATAAAATCACAGAACAAAAGAAATGAATCACTTGAAAGTGCAAAAATATGAAGCAAACTACATTCAAATATTTTATTATCGAAATTTAAAAAGTTTTCATCGAAAAGCAGTTAGAACACTTACAGTTTAAAAAAATACGATAAATTAATAAAAGCAAAATATTTGAAACAATCTTTTTCAATATAAGTTTTCAGGTCCTATTTCGGTCGTACAAAAATCAATGATAATATAAATCTTTTAATCGATAACATTTAAAGCAATGGATTATTGAAGACGTTGAAAATCTTTTGCTAGTGCTGAAGATTTGTACAAAGAATAATTTGAAATTTCAACGGTGATTTACTTGAATTTTAATAATTTCAAACTTAAGTTATTTTTTAATAGCAATGATTCGTCGTTTTTTGGTAATGATTACATATTAAATATTGTGTATTCTCTTCGGATGATTTCATTCTATTCGGAGTTCAAAGGTTTAAGTGACAATTCTGAACAATGCTGTCAGTTATAATCGCATTTGCATGAAACTATTATTATTCAGTGTAACTAACAAAAAGATTTTAAGCATAGTAGAGTTAAAATTATTACGCAAAAAAAACCTGAGGTTTTGTGATTATAATTTGGACGTAAATCATACGGCTTACCAGAATGTATAAAAACGATCCTCTCAGTTAATACTCAGACAAATATCATTTCATTAGATTGGTTGCCTGCTAAAAATATTTTTAGAAAGGATTTTGACGTTTCTACATTTGATCACCGATAGATTTATGTTTCTGTTATATTATATGGTAGTGCTTGCTTTGCCGTCGTGTATCGCGCAAATAACGGTATGTGAATTTACCTTTCATATTGCCTTTCAGTATAGACTTAAAATATTCACAAAGTTTTTTTATCTTAATTGAAGACAAAAACAGCTTCTCCCTGTGAAAGAAAATCAAAATGAAATCAAATTTTCTTACCTGTTTTCCTATTTACTTCAAAATAATCGATATTTTGTGATCATATCCTATAGCAAAAATCAAAATGAAGCGTAAAAAGTTTGTACATTGAATCATCGAATCATTTTTGTTACACAGATCTGTTAATCTTTCTGTGTCAAATCAGTAGCATAAGATAAAAACAATTAACACTTATTATTGCAATTCATGAAGCTAATTTTAAAACGTAGAAGTAACTTATTGCCATTCAAAGATTCTACAATAATATCTACACAATGCTTCTAATTATTGCTGTTCAAAAATCACAGGAAAACAATAATTAAATAAATAAATCATTTTGGGTTATTTCAGATATCAAATGAAAGCGATAAGTTAATGCAAGCAGATAAGAGAAATGATGACGGAATAAGTATCATGGCTAATGACAATAAAGTAAACGAAAGGCGGTTCAAATGTGAAACATGCGATAAAGCATTCAAACAGGCCAGCTGTTTGAATAGACACAAATTGGTGCACAGAAACGAACGACCATTCAAATGTGCTATGTGCGATAAAGCTTTCAAACAGCGCCGCCATTTGAGTGATCATATGAAAATACATACGGACGAAATTACATCGGAATGTAACATATGTAAAAAAGTATTCAAACAGCGCCGCTATCTGAAAGAACATATGAAGGTATCATACAACTTTAAGACATTGAAATGCAACGTATGCAGTAAACTATATGAATACAGTAAAAATTTGCAGAGATACAAAATGACGCACAAAAAGGAACGACCATTCAAATTCAAAAAGTCTCGCGTTCGGAAGAAACACAATTTGACGCATGGAAACGTGCCGTTATTCCAATGTGAAGTGTGTGGTAGGAATTTCATTCAGAAACGTAATTTAAATAGACATATGAAAATGCATAAAAGTTCGGATGAAAAGATACATTCTGCAATGAGCTCCTTAATGATATCGATAGCAGATGATACCATTGATACAGAAGTATCAATAAGGGAAATAATTAGATTTGCAGGAATATAAATTATTGTATTGTTTTGGCTTAAATTATATTTGTACATTTTTATCTGTTGTTTATGCTTTGTCCACTATTTCCTAATTGAATAGAGAAAGTGATTGATGAAATTGTTTGGAAAATTTTGAATTATAATTCGATGGAATTTTATTGCATTCATTTTTCAATAAATCCACTATGCCAATATTCTCTCTTCATTATCAATTTTATCAACAACATTTTTCTAACCTCAGTTAAATAAAATTCCAGATCAGGTAACACTATCAAAGTTATTCCATCATTTTGTAAAACAAAATATAGTACCTTTCGGCATCATGACTGCATATATCGGACAGACGTATTTCGGCATTCTGAAGTGCCCGTTTACATATTGTTAGAAGGTATTTCAGAACTGGAACTAACTTGGTAATGTTTCCTTGATGATCAACACTAGTAATCATTGCCTCAGGTTCACTTATTGCTACGATTTGACGTTTTTGACGTTTACTGCTACGATTTGACGTTTACATGGATAACCGTCCTGAAAAAGACAAAATGAAATTGAAAGCGATCACAATAACAGCAAAATATGAAAAATGCAAAATGCACGTAGGAAAATTAGGTATTTCAGAAGGTTTGAAATTTTTTTAACCTTTTCTCTGCTCTAATTGATCTCATAATGCAAAATTAATCTATTTAAGTCCTTAACGCTGTCAATAACTGAAATACGAGAGAAACGATACCAATTTTGTATTGAAAAGTGTGTGAAATGTTCGAAATTTTTTGTTAGAAAATTTTTTGACTTCCATTAAAAATTAAAATTAAATTGGAAAACCGCAACGAATGATTAATAAACGTGGTGAATGATTCGTGATTTTCTAATCTAATCTTATTTTCCGGAAAAAGAAAAGTGAATTCATAACGTATATTGCCAGTGAAATCTTCCGCCTTATCTTCACTTTTTTAATGTATGAATTTTTATTGTCGAGCAAACCGGAAATTACCATTAAAAGGCTTCCTAATTATTTAACAACTGTTACCCTACCTGCGTGAAATGTACAAGATTTTAAGATTGACTTATTCGGTTGTCTTGAATTGTTTGTTTCTGGAGTGCTTAGATGACAGCTTTTATTCAGTGCTTATTGAGCAATTCCTGAATTCTATAATTAGAGGTTGTGTGTGTGTGTGCATAGAATTTCGTGGAACAAGTGAGGAAACGTTTTAGGAGAGATAATTCCAATTTAAAATCCAACAGATTTCTGATGTTCTCTGAATCGATTAAGGTTCGTTCATTTGAAAGATATTATTTATTATAAATTCAAGAATTTTAATTTAAAAATTTAAAACTCAATAGATTTCTGATCTTCTCTGAATCGATTAAAGATTACTTATGTTTTTTACTTATATTTTCAAATTGAATGAATAAATATGATGTAAAAAAATACTGAACAAAAAATCAAAAATACTTTATTTGTTAGAAGTGATACAACAGCTTTTACTGTATGAAGAACGATTGTTTCCAGCGAAAGTGTTGTATGTGTACAGTAGAATATATTGATTAGAAATTTAAATTATTTTTATTAGCAATTCAGATCGAATGAAACATTTGAAATAATCGAAACAATAAGACATTAGAAGAAATAATTTTAGAATTTGAAAATGGAAGCAACGAAGGAACAGTTAAATTTTTTGTTTTACAACTTTTTACACAATGATGTTAAAGAATTGTAAATTTAAGAAATGTGAAAAAACACTTCAAAGGGAAAATCCGCCAAATATGATTTCAGGTATGATTTGCTTTTATCTCAAAGCAATGCAAAGTTTTGGCACATTAAATTTAATTTGACAACTGATCAGTGTCAACAAAAAAAAAAAACTAAGTTTTAAAAATATATTCATTTAATATTCCAAAAAGTAATCTATACAAACATATTTTCATAACGAATTATGTACACAGTCAATAATCCAACTGTTCAGGCATTCAATAATTAATTACAGTTATGAAATTATTGATCGAAATCGTAGATTTCATTGAAATTCTAAGAGAAGTAAAGGTTAGTTTTCAATTTGCATTTTATTGTTTATCTGATGATTAAATGAAGTTAAGCATAATTGAAGTAATTACAGATGACTGCAAAGTTGGATAGAATATAACAAGTATTGGTCCTAAAAAGTGATCATAGAAAAACTAGCTGCTAGATGAATAATGAGCTTAAAAAAAAATGCTTAGGCAGATCTGGTTTGATTAATATTCATATTTTGTACCTCCTCACATGGCACTGCTGGTAACATACGCCTTCTTGTTCGTGATGTTGTTTGAAGATCTAAATCATATTTGTTCCTTTAGTTTTTTCTTTCTTTTAAACTATCATTCAAATCATTACTGATAATGAAATGATAAGGTAGAAGATAGACAAATAGTTTATATGAAAAAAAAGTCAAGTAGCATATGAGAGAAATGAAATGTTACATTACGAGAGAAAATTCTAATTTGATTTTTGGAATATCGAAATAAAGGTGACCAATTAATTGATAGCAATTGTAAGTAAATAACTTTAAATTTTTAGTCGAAACTTTTATTTAGGCAATTTTTCCATTCCTGATACCTCATCTAAACAAATTATACCATTTCCTCTTCGCTTCAACAACATCTATTATTCCTATCTCTCACTTCCTTTCTTTCAACAGAAAGTTTATACCAGCGTGATTCGTCGCAACTAATGTAAAGTATTATTCTTCCGAAAAAAAAGTAATTATTTTTCAAAATTATTTCTGATAGAAAAATATTATTATTATACTTAGATATTCGCGTTCCACTGCAGACAATTTTCGATCATCATCACATGAAAGGCCACAAAGTTTTCTCGGGAATATTCCTTTTGATTTCATATAACTTGTTAATTGTGCGGGTACCTGAAAGAAATAATTAAATTGGCGACATTAAGATTTATAGAAGTTTAAAAAACAAATTTCATACTTAATAAAAAGATAAAAATTAATATCAAATTAGAAATTAATTTCATTCGAAATTAAATTTAATAAGAGAAGACTGTAAAAAGATTTCCTTCTTTTTTGTTGAAAGCATAGTTTTCTTATTGTTTCCAGTAAATTTGTTACAACTAAAGAAATTTTGCTAAATGCATAAATTTTGTGATCATAGATCATAATAATTTTCTTCAGTTAATAAATGCAAAATTATATTTCAAACAGAAAAATAACCATACTTCTTGTAAAACTTCTTTGGCTAAACGATATTTAGCTTCCACTAAATCATCATCAGTTAAGATACGATGAGGTGGTAAAAAATCTCGCAGCTGTACAAACTGAAAGAAAAAGTTTAATCAAACTTTTGTTTATCATAAATTACTAAACAAAGAAAAAATAAAATGAACTGAAAATAGCACATATTTTTATTATCAAATAAATGTATTTAATTCAGAATACTTTCATGATACATGCAATTTATTTTTTCTCTCATTATTATGAGAGATTTATATCAATCAAAAGTTTAGATAATGATATAAATTTGATAAAATAAAAGAATAGAGAGATTATATGATTAATTACCTGAACAATATCACGCTTTGCATATTTACCATTCACCTGTAACATTTGCCGATCGGAGTCTAAAACTTTCATTTCACCAAAACTGTCATAACCAACGCCAACAATTATTATGGATAATGGCAGTGATGAAGCCTTAAATAAGTGTTTATCATTTATTATTGCGTTAGCAGAAAATTATTTGAAATAATGTTGTAAATTAAATTACAAAATTAAAAATTAAAAAATGAATTAAATGAATTCCAATTCAATGGATTATGATAATTTCAACCAATCCATTTTACTATTACACTTCGGAAATTTTGTGATCAGAGGAAAAGATTGTTGCCATCCAAGATCTTGCTTTTTGATAAATTACGAAAGTATACACATACATACAAAGTACCTTTACAATTTCTTCTTTTGCTCTATTCATATCATTGATAACACCATCGGTGATTATTAAAAGAACAGAATATCTGCTACCATCCGGAGGTAATGAAGCTGCATGTCGTGCTGCATGCCGTAATGTTGGCCCAAATTCTGTTGGCCCTGCCAATTCTATTCGGTTTAAAGCATCACGGTATGCATTTAATAGGCCATTCATTCCAACGCATTCTGGACTGTTCGTTGTCAAATTCTAAACTTTGTCAAAATTATTTATGCATTCTTAATATCACTTTTCGTTTATTAATTTTCTCATCAAGTCTTTCTTTCATTTCAATCAATTTTACCATCATCACTAATCTTAATTCATTTGTTTGTTTTCTAAAATTCTTCTTCCTATATTATTCAATATCCTACGTTTATCATATCCTGTTATCAACATTAATATGACGATTTCTTTAATACAATATATGAGCTGAAATGCATTTGTCAACTTTGATTTGTTTATCTTTTTAATTAATTTTATTTTTTATGCATAGAATATTAATTTTTGCACTAATTAATATAAGATATTAAAAAAATTACATAATTCACCGAATCTAATAAAATTAAAAATGAAAATGAAAATATCCGATATAAGTGTAGCATAGTGTTAGTCAAAAAATTATTTCCATTTCAAAATTATTTCCCGATTTCCATTTCAATAAATCATTTCCCAATATTTCAAAAAAGGAAAGTACGAAGTAAAAGAAATTTAGACTGGTAATAAAAACATTTTATGAAGTTTAGTTTTTTCAAAATTTTTTCTTATTAATCTAATTTATGCTACCTAATATTCAAATATATTTGTACACTTTTTTTCCTAAGAAAAAAAACCTTAAATTTTGATTTCTTTCAAAAATAACTTTGAAATTTCAGCAAATT